TACAAAGCAATTTACTACGTAACTATTATACAATAGAGATCTTAGAACATGATCCTCCACCTGGTGTCGTTTGTTATCCGGTAGACGGTAGTTTCACGCGTTTTTGTGCACGTAATTATTGAAGTTCATTTTTTTTGCTTATCTAATTAAATGGCAGTAGTTTATAAGGTTAATGGTTATGTTTTTTCATATTTATAGAAATTAAAGGACCGAAAGATACACCATATGAAGACGGTATGTTTAAAGTTGATGTACAAATTCCAGCACGGTATGAGATTTTATAGTAATAATATACATTTACATGCACTATGAACTGCTCTTTAAATATTATTTATTGTTCTTAGATATCCTATGGAACCGCCAAGAATGCAATTCATTACTCCAATTTATCATCCAAACGTTGACGATGTCGGACGTATTTGTTTGGATATTTTAAAGATGCCACCCAATGTAATTGTTCAATATTAGTGATTTTGTAAGATGAACTTTTATTAATTTTTATTTTTGTGCGTTTTTATTTATAGGGTTCATGGAAGCCTTCCTTGAATATTTCTACTACGTTGACTTCTTTATGTATTTTAATGGCTGACCCAAACCCTGATGATCCACTTTTAGTTGAAATTGTAAAGTTTTTTTTTTTTATTTGTGGCTATTGACTGTGTACCGCGTACGATATTTATTAGACTTTTTTTTGAACAGGCAAGCGAATTTAAGGAAAACCGGCCCTTGTTTCTTCAAAAAGCAAAAGAAGCTACATTGAAACATGCTATGGAAAATAAAAATTCAGGAACATAACGTGATATAGTGCAGCTCTCCCAAGTTTTATTAAATTTAAAACTATCTAATTATCATTATTAAAGCCTTTAAGCATATATAGAAATATCTTTCTTGCAATTGTTACTGTGTGCACTTGAATAGTATTTGTCCGAAGCGTAGCGAGGACTCTGTGGTAGAGCAATTGACATGATTTTGTGTTGGATTCCAGTCATATGATCAAATAATTGGCCAATCAAACTATATAAATTGCTAAATTTGCTGATAATCAATACTGCAAATATTTTTAGCTTCGGACACAAACTACTGCACTAACGGTACTTGTTTCCTAGTTATAATTAATAAATACCCGAGCACTAGCACGTAGTGGAACTACGTACGCCAATAACGCCATCATAAAAATGCGGTCACATGACGTTTTGTGGCGCAAACGAATCCACCTTC